TACATATCACCGAGTAATGCCATGAAGGACATGTCCAGAACCAACATTAGATCCTTAACTATGGCAACATCATAATATTCCAATAACCCATGGGAAGTTATTGTTATCTTTTTGCCAATAAAGTTACCACTATCTTTGTCTACACTCATCACAACAGGTGTAGAGTATAGCAAATCCCTTACAAAAACCATCCTTGACCTCGTTATCCGACCCAACAAAGTGACACTTCCAAGAGAAAAAGCCAGAATGTTGTAGCTCATGCAAGCACATATAGCAGATTGTACCACTGGTGTATTGAATTGCTCCGCAATATGAGCAGTAACACCACCAAAAGGACACATCGAGGAATTCTCTATAGACTCCCTCAGCAGCTGATAAACTACACAAGAAGTTTTGAGAGTAACACAACTTTCAATACCCAGTTCAACTCCACCTACACACCCATAATCATAGAACTCTGCTATTAAACCTCCACTTCTTGTAGTAACTCCTTCAAAAATTTCACTTGCATCTGATGTAGTATATAAAGGTTCATTAGCAATAGAGACACAACCTAAATTATCTTGCCCAGTGTCAAGCCAATTGTCCAAAGAAATACAAAATGGAACAATCCACAGTATGGCATCAGGCTCCAAATGAAAATATGTGCATGTCCCCATGTGACAGCTACCATAAGTCTCAAGTCTATTGCAATCGTCCAAAGTGATACCAACTTGCACAGAGAGCACTTGAGTAGGAAACTTCTCACTTGGAAGTTCAATTCGTATTGTCACAGCAACTCCTTCCACATATTTTCCATCTTCAAATGTAAATTCCATTGCATAGGGTGGGACATAATCAAGATAAGGACCAGGACCAAAGACAACATACTGCTTGGAGTAACCTTCAGCAAATGCCTTGATCACTTCCTGTAGTATGTCCTCCCCAGCACACTCCCTGCATTTAGACAACAAGAATCTAGGAAGATTGCGCTCCTGCCCTGTATCAACCCAATTGCTTTTGTGTACATTGAATATAAGGTAAAACAGCACTCTACTTTGTTTAACCCTACAAAGAGAATTAAGCAAACATGAAATAGTGCGAGGCCATAAAGTTCCATCAAATGGATATGCGAGTCCAGCAATTCTCGCACTCGCATTTGACATCACAATACCTTGGCTAACAAAAGGAACCGGAAAACCTGATAAATCCTTTTGAGGAGATTTGGTAAATAAAGCTACATTATCTCGTGAATTTTTCTCCTCCTCGGCTGTAGATCCTCTTGTATCACCTAACCCCGCAGTAAGTACCTTGGTTTGCAAGCTGACATCTCCACAGAAGCCATCGTCATACACCTTCGTTATTGTAGTTGCAGAGTGTTTTCCCTCATGTGCAATAACATTAAGATCAGGAATGGCGGAGCTCACCGTTGTGTGTGAAATTTCGTTTAACACCTGATCTTTAGTAATGGAAGAAGGTTCTTGTAACAAATCTGCTACCGCTATTGATTCTGCATTACCAATTTGAGGCGTTTCCATGTCTTCAGGAGTTTCAATCTCAGTATTACCAGTAATCAATGCCAAGGAATCTACATTCTTATACTGCTCTGGCAATTTATCGAACACATGGTCCACTTTTGAGTTTCCAGTTTCATAGGCAGAGTCAAATGCAGATGACTGCAAAATATGGTTCGGAGCAGGAACAGAAGACACCGGAGCTAATTGTGAAATTTTAGGGACATAATTAACGCAGTTAAAATGAACCATTGAAGAACTATCTAGACGCACCATGGGATCTGTATTGATCTGTTGTCGAAAATGCTGGGCAAATATTGCCTTGAAATGTTTCCAATCGAGAAATTGCTTGTTTCGAAACAACCAATTGAACCAATTAAGAGCTTCACCATCGAGGTAAAAAGAAGGAAGAGGTAACCAGTCCTTCTCGGCGAAACCAAGGTAATTGAAGTATCGCTCGGCACGAAAAAGCCAACTCTCTGGGTTGCCGCTGCCGCTGAATCGATCTAGTACCTCCATTGGAGTTCGATGGATGAAAGCACCAATATAACAAACCAATTCACAATAGAAATAGAGACTTATATTTCACAATCGCTTAAAGAAATTACACTGTAAAAGGAAATACTAATGGATTGAAGAACAACAATTAACTAGGAATTAAAGGAACAAGGAAAGAATAACCAGAAGGGGATGAGAAGCTTCAGACATTAGGAAGATAGAGGTGAGAGGAACAGACTCAGCCGAAGCCTCAACATAATTGGCATGCCCTCCTCCTCGCACAAACTGATAATTATAACAACTACATTTCTTCTTGCCCAGTAACTCTTCGACACGTGTACCTCAACCCGGGTCCCAAAGGTAGTCCAGTAATGTTGTGTTGGGCTGTTTAACCACTTGACCCCGGCGTAAACCATTCCCAAGCCAAATGCATCATTTTGGTCTTCCCCATTCACAACAGGGTGTTTGCAGATATGTTTTTTGTCGGGTGTGCGAATAATATCCAACATTGGTAATTGAAAAGGTTGGGAGCCTACATATACGGTATAGGGATCTCTCAATGGTGTGAGACCTTTTGGGGAAAACCGTACGGGCTTGGCCTAAAGCGGATAATATTACACCGTGTTAAGAGTATTTTTGGGTTGGTTGAGCCCAACAATTGGTATCAGAGTCCAGGTTCGGCGGGACAAGTATGAAGATGGCAAAGTGATGGTCCGGGGTAGTGTACACACAAGAAGAAGCTAGTTGCGGGCTTCGGGTGCCATAATACTCTAACAATCTGGGTGGCACACAGTGAATCTCGAAAATTGACCAATGGATCGTGGCAATGGACACATGGAACTTAGTTTGAGGGGGAGACCCGTGAATCGTGGCAGTGGGCCACGTGGAACTTAGTTCTGGGAGATTGTTGGATGTGCAAACAAAATCTCATATTGATAACTAAAAAGATGGGGAATCTACATATTCGGTTTCATTTGCTCGTGTTGCTAGGAAGAAAGTCTGCAACATCATTTCTCTTGATTTAACAAATGAGACATGGGGAAAGTTGGATTTTCCCAATTACGGAAAAGACAATTGTCATTTAATACTGGGAAGATCTTTCTATGTTTTGTACTAATCGTCAAGGAAATACTTCTGATATATGGATTATGAAGGATTGTGGAGTTCACTCATCTTGGACAAAGATGTTCACACCATTGAGTATATCCTCAAGATCTTCCGAAAGTCATTTTACCAACTTACTCATTCTCTGCAATTCAAATAAGGGTGAAATTTTACTTTTGCTTCCCCCAATTATTATGATATACAATACAGAAGATGGTTCCACCAGACAATCGGAGGTCATTGGATTTGAAGAACGGTTTAATACAGAAATCTATGTAGAAAGCCTTGTTGATCCCCTATTGATATCTGACTGGGGACGTTGTAACCTTAAAACTTCACAATCATGTTGTACACATCGAAATCTTAATGGATCGAGTTAAATCCTAAATTCAAGATACTACAAGACCTCTTGATATTCTAGGAGTCTGTCAGTTTTGCTTAGAGGCTACTCTACCAAAACCCTAGGTCACTCTTATAAAAGGGTTACATAATCCTTAAAAAATATCTCAAAAATGAAGATCATCTCAGAAATCCCATAAACTCATGAGATATTCACAAAGAGATCAAGAGGTGGCCGGATAATTCTTCATAATCAAATACTTCAAGAAGATCCACAACATACTTCATGGATATCAAATAAATCCAAGGAAGTCTTCATCATCCTACGTTCGAGAAACACGCTGCTCCAGCTCTCGAATTACGGATAAAAATTCGGAGAAAGAATCAAGGGAACAAACAGAACTGTACCCGCATCATTTTATCAATAAAATTACGTTTCTTTCATATTTATATTGTGGTTGCAATTTATTTTTGAATCACGAAAATTTGTTGTAAACACATGTAGCTGAAAACTTGTAAGAGTTCTACTTTATTCTAGCTGCCATGCTCTTTCTGCACTTGATCTTTTTTGTCAAATATAGGACAAGATATTGATTATCTATGAATCAATACATCAAATTTGCTAGTATATCTTGGAGTTCTTGTAATCTTTTCTCATTTTTTATTATGTCACTAGTTCTTGAATCAAAAGTTCTTAGGTAGTGGTTATATTTCGATATTCTATAAGGATATAGATAGTACTTGTTGTCTTGAACAATGTTTTAAAAAGGCATTTTCCTTTAGGCAAGACAGGCACAAATGATTGAGGCAAATGCAACCTGTCCCCCCGAAGTAGCTAGTTAGCCTCTGCGCCACGCTATTAGTTCAGATAGCAGGTCGCAACTTGTCTGCATTAAGCCGAAATCACTAGTAATCGCCTGTCAGCTGCCAAGGGTAAAGCCAGTAAGAGGGAAGGCGGCTCTATTAAATTGTCTAAAGTTACTTTAGCTCACAAGTTCAAATTCTAACTATGATATTTTAGTATAATAATTTTAATTCTCTTATATAAGTTCCTGACTCCACCACTGAGCTATACAGTAGTTGGATTTGTTCCAGGGCGCTGGCGTTGATCAAGGGAGTTTCAGCTTAAAAGATGGAAGTATCAAATTATTTTTGACATACAAACACCCTTTTGTGCTCTTCCGATCACAATCAGATGTAGGAATGACACCAGTTCATATGGAGTACATAAAATGTTTAACAGTACAGTAATTTGTTTGTTATTTATTTTGTGAGATTTCAATTAGTTGATTCAATGCATGATCTTGCAGTGTACTCTATGCGAAATATTTACCGTATATTTCTTTTTCTCTTTTGGCCGTTTTTGTTAAGCATTGAACCCCACCTTAGGTGTTGAGTAGTTCTCCCGTCCCGAATACCTAAACAGAGTTCCGTCTATGGAGCCTAAAGCTCAAACCCATGGCATAGCAGTAAGCAGTAAGCTGTAAGCTGGCCTAGTCTCTCGCCCAACCGGATTTACAGATAAACATTTCTAGTAGATAAAATCATAGAAGAAGAAATGGAAAGGAGTACTGCCATTATGCGCTACTATTCTAATATTCAAAAGTTATGAGAAACCATTGATCCTTATTCTGAATTTGACCTTACAAAATCAGGCCAAATTATCTCCTCCTCTAGCTACTTCTTTTTAAAGGGGAAGCAAGGGTATTTTTAAGGTTTTTTTTGGGTACTAATATAACCTAGAAGACTTTCATTTACATATGAAAACTAAACATATTCATATTTCCTAGCATGGAAAAAGGGAAAAACATGGCTCCATACTAACTTTCCTGCCAACAACATTGATATTACTTAGTTTCTTCTGGCACCAGACTAAGTGATCTCTCCTTACTCTTGGTAAACTTAGTACTCTTGATACCAGTCTTAGTTCCACAAGCGACGTGAATAACGGATGGCTTAATCGACCTTCTTGCTGTTTTTGGAACTTCTTCACTATGCAATTGCCACTTCTTTGAACATCTTTAAGCTTCCTCTCCTTCTGCATAGAGAATCAAGTTATGTGCGATAGAGTTTAGAAATTATAAGAAAGACATCTATGAATAAAGATGACAAACAAACCTTTTGAAGATCTGATCTGATATTCATAAAAAGCTCGGTTTCTGCAGTGTCCATTTGAGTTCCTTGAACACCCTTTAAGCCCAAATTGGTTTCACGTTTATCAGCACGAAGAAACTCCCAGAAAACGTGCATTGTTTCCTTAATAATTTCCGCCAACTTCACTATGGAGATGACGTCTTTTTCCCCTTCATGTCCGCCCTGCTTTTCCTTTGAACGATCATCTGCTAGACGGTCAAAGTACACCCCTCGTTACTTATAAATCAAGCTATTTTAGTAACGATTCAGTGAAAAAAAGTGTACCTCTAATGCTCGGGACTTGAAGAAAGCTACGGAGCATGCACCTCTTCCTGACATAATTTTGGACTCGAGGTCCTTGAAATGGCTCGTCCTCTACAAATCTTTGCAAAAGTACTTGAAATTGCTGATATTCTCCAGCTACTTGGTTATATGTGTGATACTCTTGAGGATCATGTTCTAGCAATTCCTTTGTTTTTCCATATTGCCAACAAAGAATTTCCCAAGAAAGGCAAACTTGTCCAACATACACTATTTCCAAGTCTCTATTCATTTCACTAATGGATTTTTGTGCAGGATCAGCAAAGATTTTCCTTTGTTTGTTTGCCAAGAAGCTAGGCAAAGTGAAGGCTTTGGTTATTGAAATTGATGACTTTTTGCTTGACATAAATACTTCTGAATCCTTAAGCTGAAGGAAACCTATATGAAAGAGTAAAACATCAGAATACACCAGTCCAGGACTCAAAAGAACATTTCAAGAAGCTAATTCGAGGTTAATGAAAGTCAGCCTGGTGCACAAAACATCTCGCATTCATGCAGGTCCAAGAAAGGGTCACACTGATGTAGGTAGAAAGCAACCATCAACGACTAATTCCAGAACTCAGAACCCGTGAGCTGTACGTCATATGGAGACAGCTTTACCGTTGCTCCAAAGGTCCTCTGCTAATTCTAGGTCAACGAATTCTTTTTTAATTATTTCATCTTTTAATTCAACAAGTGTTTTGACAAAAAAAAAAATTGTCTTATTTTTTTTCTACAATACAAGTCCAAGATGACTACTCTAAATTGGTTGTGGGGTTGTCCAATTCTCCCTAAAATAGAAATTTGATTAGACCAAGAAATTATAACTAAGTGGAAGGACCTAAAAGTCGGTTGAAGGGCATTAAAAGACACTGATTATAACATTAAAATTTTAATAATTGCATGACATAATTGAAAAGGACAGCAAAAGAGTGTCCCATTAAGCATTGATAGTGGGTACTTTCAGAAGTGGAGATTATGTCACACTAGTCTTTTCGAAAATCTAATGGTCAAAAATCTTGAAAATTATCAGACAGGACAATAAGCACAATTTGATACTATTTCACATAGGACAATAGAGGTCGGTCCGCAACCCTTTACCTCATAAGCAGATTCGTGACAAGTGATATCAAAGCGAGCTCGTCACGCCCCAAGTCAGTGTCGGTTGAGGGTGTGAAGCCCTCTCACATAGGAGAGGAGAGAGACCTAAACAGCTTATAAGCGTCTGGCGACTCTTCATCTCACGAGCTAATTTTTAGAGTCAAACTTAGGTGGGTGAGTGACAAAATGGAACAAGTTCAAGCTTCAAAGCATAAATTTGGTGGTTTTAGCATGTTGATTGATGAATTTAATTCTAGAAAGTACTGAAAATGACATTACTATAGAATTACAGGATTCAAATAAATGCTGGCTTAATCTAGTATTTAATACTGAAAGGGACAGGAAACAAACATGAAACACCTCATTGTTCTACACCAAACAAAGATTTACTCCCCTGTTCACTTTTAGTGGTCCACTTTGACTTTGCATTCCATTTAGGAAAAAATAAATAAAGTATATATTTTTTAATTTTACCCATAATAATGATAACATTTCAAAAAATCTTGAAAAATGATTTGAGGAATGACTAGTTAATGATAAGGGTACATCAGAAATCATATCAAGTAAAAGGAAAAATATTTTTAGTATAATGGACAAATAAAAGCGAACTAAGAGAGTAAACATTAAAGATGGAAGTTAATTTTGTTTTTACCAAACAGCAAAAAGAGGTAAAAGTTTGAAACTTACTGATAGCATTCAAGGTCTGGTAATTCAAGATATCCAATTTCCTCATTTTTTCAGCATAGCTTTTGTAAAACTTGTGAATTTCTTCAATACAATCTTTATACTCAATCTTTTCATCAATTTTCAGTGGCTTCAAATCTTCTACTACTTTAGGAGATTCACAATCTTCTGATATAGTAGGAAGTCCTGTGATTCTTGAATTTTTCATTTCCATTTTCATTTGCCTGACTAAATTCTGATGTTGTAATAAGATATCACATTCATCTTCATCTGAATCTGAGTCTGTATCCCATGATTTTCGACTCGAATTATGATCTTGAAATTCTTGAAAATCATCCATTAACTTCACTTCCTCAGAATTCACATCAGTTTCTTCAACTCTGTCAACTTTTTTAGAAACAAACTCATTTGTATCCATTGCACTAAAATTATGTAAAGAGGTTTCCAATTCTATAAACCCCATTTCATCATTTTCCATAAAATGATCAGAATTCAAGAATCCATTAACATGTACATCAGATGATGACTTTTCACTTATAATGAAATCCTCAGCTCCAATAGTATCAGACCATTGAATCGAATTTCGAACGAAAGATTGATTATCTGAAAACAATTGAATTTCATAACATATATCTTCCAAATTCTCTGATTCCTTATCACTAAAACCTTCATCATTTTGCTTCAAATTCTCTTCACAACAATTACTTTCAACATGCTCTTCTGCTAATTCTTGATCATTAGCTTCTTTTTCATCAAAAACCTCAGCTTTTGCTTTTTCATCAATTCCATTCTTGAAAAAAGAAAAATAAAACGGTTTTTCCTTAGAATTTGGTGAATCATCAAAACAAGAACCAATCTTTTCTTCTTTTCTAATTTGATCCAACTTCAACTCTTCAGCCATTAAAACTTCTTCTTCTCCTTCATTTGAATTCACAAACATTTCTTGAATAGTAAAGCTTTTAACTTCTGGCTTTTCTATAAATCCAAAAGCATCTTGTCCATATATATATTCAAACTTACTCTGAACAAAAACAGAGCTCTCTGTTTCATTAAATTCTAATTTTTTGTCACTTTTGCATTCCAATTGAATGGCTCTAAAATCTGAATCATTCTTCTTATAATCACCCTCCACCATCCTGCTACAAAACCAAAAGTGACAAAAACTTTAAGCAAATATAACAACAACAATACGCAGCCTTGCCCCTACCTTGGAAGGGTAGAGAGGGTATTTACGATAGACTCTCGGCTAAAGAAAAACTTTAAAGCAAATGAAATCTAAATTAAATAATTTGATGGAAGAAAAAAAAACTTACTAATCATACCTGTCTATGTATTTCTCCAAGAGAAAGAAAATCTTGAACATAAAGCTACAAAAGAAGCCCCAGACGGAACTGAGACACCAAGTCATTTTACATATAAATTCACTCAAAAACATTTTATTAAAGTGGCTTTTGAGCATAAAATGTTTATTGGTACTCATGACTTTTCCAACTACAAGTAAAGGAAAAAAGGAACACAAGCTAATAGTAGTAGACTAGTAGTATAGTAATCTTGAATTCATAGGAGAAAGTGGAGAGACCACTAAAGGAGAACGAAATTTGAGGAGAAAAATCCTAAGCATCTGCTAAAAACATGTCTTGTTTTTACTATTTTTTTGGAGACCTAACATGTTGGCGAAGATTGAGGAGAAATAGAGAAATGAGAGAAGTCATGAGAGTGAAAGATACGGACATGAATTTATGAATGATCAAAGTACAAATAAAGAGATGAAATTAATTTGTTTTGTATGGAGAAATGACAAATGGGACATAGATATTTCATAATGTTTTTTGTCGGTTAAAGATTTTGTATGGTTTTGGTGGGGCTTTTTTTTGTTTGTTTGTTTTCACTTAACATTTGACACGTTTCTTAGGTGAGTGGTAAGGGTCAAATTTCGTTAACAATGGAGAAAGTTTTTTTTTTTTTTTTTTGTAATCTTAAGTATTTTGTATTTGAAATTAGTGGCTCGATTAGTTCAGATTGCATTGGATAAATTTATTAAAGAAATAATTTAATTAATTTAGATTGCGGCGAATAGTTCTACTAAGGAAATAACTCAATTAATTCAAATCGTACCAAATAGATCTATTAAGGAAGTAAATTACTTCTTACTAAAAGTTCTTTAATTTTAAATTAAAATTGATGACCTCATCACTTATTCTACCACATCTCATACGGCGAGAAAGTCGTGTTTGGATGTTTGCTTTTTTGGAACGTTAGCTCTACTCTTCTTTTTGGTGGTAAGTATTTGCTTTTTTGTGCATTGAGCCTAGTCAAAGACGTGAGACTAATTCTTAGCACCAAAAAGGAAAAAAGCAAGGACTAGGTACAATAAATGTAATATTGTTGGCATTAAATTTCTTGTAACAAAATTCCCGTGAATGAGATTTACTGATTATGTACCTGAGAAATTGAGATTACAAGAATCCAAAGTTCCATCCCTTTTTTTCTTTTTCTTTTTTCTTTTTATCCCTCTCTTTTTCTTTTTCTTTTTTCTTTTTCTTTTTCTTTTTCTTTTCATTTTCCCTTTTTTAACGGTGGTTAATGTATTACTTAATCTGATATGAGGTAAGCCATAAAATAAAAGAAAAATATTATGGTCTATTGTACTACGAATTAAGATAGTATCGATTGATACCTTTTCTAAATCGACCCTATAGAATTGGCAAAAAGGCAATCAGATTTGGTAGAATATAAAATAGAAAAGTCATAAAATCGGTGGATTTAATGGATTGAATTTCTCCACATAAGGTAGAATTGGATTCGAATTCCACAAAATTGAAATAATGACATCCACTTAACTAATATGAGCATTTGGTGCAACTGAACCAATTTGCTTGCCTATTCATATGACTTTGGGGTCGTTGTGTGGTGTAAACAAAATTGACATTTTGTTTTCTCTGAGAATAAAATGAGGTTTACTTGGTAGTACTTGTGTTTTTTCTTCCTCTTGTTTTAATGGAACAGTAAAGTATATGTATTGTCATAATCAAGTCTATGGCTCGGTGATAATCAAAGTCTTTTGCGTAGGAGCAACGTCTTTCAAATGGTGATCACACGCGAACCCAGAATTTAAAGGTAGCGATGGCACATAAGTAAACCGCTCAATCAGTGTCCTCATTAGACTTTTGATCTCAAGGGTTCTAAGCAAAATACAAAATCGCTTTCAACTTAATACACTTATACATTGAGAATTTTTGCCGAAGCTAATAGGATCCGGTGACCCCTATTCTACAAGCATAGATCCGCCTCCGATGGTGACTCACCAAAATCAAACCATTTTGCGCGGCCATGAAACGACGAATGAAGTCAAACTTTAGTATGGACAAAAACTCGCTCATTTGATTCCTTTGTTGATCAATCAAGATCGTATTGAGACTGAAAATACTAACGAAACCCTCTAAGTTATATTTATATTTTTGCTAGTTCTGCACTAACTTTTCGATATAGTTTGACTGGAAGTAGTTTGGATCCATTGATAACGAGTGGAGACAAATAATTCGATCGGAGAATTTGTCGAACTATACCATACGGTTTCGACAAAAGCAAAAGATAATTCTAAATATAATTGGGTTGTTTGTGTCCTATATTATATGAAACTTTTTTTTGGTTTTCTACTTGGTGTTCGGTATCCGTATTTGAGTCTTATTATATCCGGGTTCGCGCCGTGTAGGGACGCATTCGGAGGGAAACACTCCCTACCAAGGATTTTTCTATACCCAGGACTCGAACCTTGATTAAGGGAAGATCAGCTCCATCGGCTGCACCACATCCTTTGGTGGTTATATGAAACTAAAATATAAGCTCTTGATTTTAGATGAATACTTTTTTTCTCTTTTATTTTTCTCACACCTAGGGGATTAAAAGTGATTCTCCGCACTTCAATATGACTCGAAACTCTTTACCCTAGCGATTGAAGGTAAAAATACCTCACTGACTAAGTAAAAATCTCACTCGCATTAATTTTACATGAATACTTATATTTGTTTACTCTAAAAATTGGATAACAATTAAACTTATAATGTGGTTTTAAGGATACGTGGCTTCACCTAATACCAATCGATTAACGCAGATAGTAATAATAGAAATTAACAATAATATAAGGCGAACCAGTGTTTGAACAGATCCCTCGAACTTGAATACCCTCGAGCTAGTTGTGCAAGAACAGTTAAAATAGAATAAGCTGCTAAACAAGAGAGTGTAAAGTAAAGAGAGAATATTGTATTGCTTTGATATGCCTGAATATATATGGTGTACAAGATGATTAAGACCCCCTTTATATAGTAGAGGAATCCTATTTAAGGTACAATTTTAACTATGGAAGTAAATCCCATGATTAACTAGATAACCGCCCTTGATTTGATCTGCTCCAAGAATTGCGCCATGATCTTCGGCCAGTCACGGATATCTCGCCTTTTTGTTATTGCGCTTTGCTCGAAGTCTGTCATATTTGGTCTCAGTCGCTGCTGGCCTCGACCTCGACAGGCACCTCGCTCCTTGGACTCGATACCTCGTCTTCGTACTCTGGTCTGATTCATTACGAGGCTAACCCTCGATGCAGTTCCCTTGTCTCGATCAAATAGCACAGTCGGGTAGGCCTGGTTTTAACCGTATACAGATAGTCCCCTCGTTTCTTAGAATGTAATGAGAAGAAACGAATTGAGCCTTCGATTTTGTACCTCGATCTATCTTGACGTCATCCTCGTGACGTAAGCCACAGAAGCGACCGAAACGTCCCGTTGGTTCAGTTCCCAAAATCATTAATGAATGTCAGTTGGCGGTCAGCCACCAGTGCCTTTGAACCGTCGCCGTGAATCCTTAAATAGGTCTTCTTCTCACTTCCTCAAACTTTACTTTGAATTTTTCTTGTTCCAATCTTCAAAATCCCTTTGAGTTCTTCAAGTCTATCTGCAAAACTTCACAGCTTTTCACATCTTTTCACATCTTTTAAGCTCTCCCGCTCTGCATAGTCTCCTAGGCTTCGTTACCAACCCTTCCTCAAAACACCAAAATTCATTCTCTTCTTCCTTCTTTCAACTTACAGAGATGGCAAAAACATCTAAAACCGTTCCTCAAAAGGAAAAAGCTTCTTCATCGCGGCCGGCCGGCGATAAAACGCCGGTGGATCCGCGCCCTGAGGAGTGCGTTCCCGAGGGGGTGTGATCTTACTTCCGACTTTAAAGTCAAGAAAACTTCCTCTGTCCCTGGCCGGTGTGAGCCAATGTCGAGATACATGTGCTCAATAACCGAGAGTGACCTTGAGCAGGCCAAGAAAGACTACAATTGGGATAAGAAAGAGGTGGTGATCCCGACCCTTGAGGAAGATATTACTACCCACGTGAATGGGTTTCTAAGTGTTTACACTTACCCTTTCAAGCTGGGCCCTATCGACCCCGTCATCCTCGACTTCCTCCGCCACCAAATAACACTAGGTCAGATCCACCTTTCCTTCTGGCGGATTGTCCTTCTGTTCCAGTTTTTTGCGAGCAAAAAGGAAGGGACGCCTTTCACCCCCGACCACCGCATCAGACTGTACAGACCCCATCTTTTTCGAGGTGGTCTGATAAAGCTTCAGCGTCGGGCTACCAAGGTGTTGTTCTCGAGCATAGACGAGGAGAAAAATCGAGGGTGGATGGGTCGATTCGTCCGAGTGAAGACTTCCGACCTAATTCCGCCCGAGAAGATGCCATTTCTCGAGAAGTGGAATATGAAGCGTAAGCTCAATTCTTCCTTTGGCTTTTATTCATTGTTTCATTTCCTTTATTCCTCCTTATCGACATTATTTTCCATGGTGTAGCGGTCGCTTGGATGCCTGGTGCGATTCCGAACCTCGAGAGCTGGGTACAGACCCTATCTTCAACTTCCTCGTACGCTGAGCGCTAATGGCGTGATTTAGCAAAGGGCCGATGGGAGGCCAAAAATCACGGTAAACCTTTTTCTTTTCGTATCTGATGGCCTTAGAATGTTTCCCTCTTATACTCACTTGACTTCCTTTCATGCAGGCCTCGGGAAAGATGCTGTCATGAGGCCCCCATCCGGAGAGGAGGAGGTTTCTCCCCCGGTCCCAAAACCGTCGAAAGAAAAGAAAAGAAAAAGGGTTTCGCCCTCCGATACTCTGAAGCCCAAGAAGAGAAAGGCTCGCAGATCGAAGAAAGACACCACCGCCTTGCCTGCCGACGTAGCTCAGCGGCTAAGGGAGGAAGATGAGGAAGATGAAGATGCTGACTTCGAGCTAGTGGCTCGAAAGAGGAGTGCTGACAAGTGTCTGGCGTGTATAAAATTTATACTTGTACTCTGTCAAATTATAGTATAGAAAGATGTCGAACCCACAGAGATTGGTTTATCTATTCTATAGACGTTTCTTGTTTTAGTTACTATTGGAGAAAACTAAGAAGAGTTGAGTTGTGAATTAAATAACTAAAAATGCATGAATAGAGCAATAGAAAATATTTTTTTCACAAATATAATAAAAAGGTGTTGGGATCATAACTTCACTTAATATTTCTATTATATAATAGATAAAATTATCCTTCAATTTCTATTTCTCACAAATGTATAAATGCCTCTCACGATTACATTTATATATCATTACTTAAGTTGAACAATTAATTGCAATCCTCTCGGTTATACAAATTAATCGTCAAAATAGTAATATTAAAGAGCCAGCAATATATGTTTAAAATAAAACTTGCTCTTTTTAGTAAGTCCCTTTCGGTAACCCTACTTGTTATAACTAATTACTACAATATTC